CCATGCCAGGCTGCAATATGCTTCTTGTCAGCAACTGTGGCAGCATCGAATAGTTCTCTAGCTCTCCGTATATTACCCATCCTATTTTCCAGAATAGCCCAGCACTAGTCCAAAGGAGTAAGTTTGGTGAACTTCTGATACAAAAGATAAGTTGCAAGAAGACATGTAGTAGGTCATATTGTTTTCAATGAAGGCACATCATTTGCAAACGGATAATCTGACCTTGAATCCTCTTAATAATTAATTCTTTTTTTTCCACCCTAACAGACTCAAGGACCAATTCACTGATCCATGTTAAGACTTAAGAGACAGTCAAGGATTACTGATGAAAATTCTCTTCTTCGATATTTGAAATTTTGAACTTTATTAAGAGAAGCATTATGAAACGACCTTAGACATGATCAGTGGCGGATCCAGAATTTTAACTAAGGGGCATCAAAATATAAATAAGCATGCAAAGAAATCAAGGGGAGTCAACATATAGTATATATATATAAAAAATAAAAAATTTAACCTATCTATGCAGTGTAATTTTTGACGAAGGGGTGTCAATTGACTCCCCTTGCTAATGAGTGGCTCCGCTAGGGGGCATGATTTTGCCTTTTGCAAGGTGAATAATTGCAAGACATTGTAATGTTTGTATATGAATCAGCTGTTCCACATGCCCAAATTTATTTAATGTACAAAGTTAAAGGTCACTAAGAAACTGAACAAAATATACTATAAATGATCTTTACTCCATCAAGGATGATGACATATGTTTAGGTTGCAAATCATTAGTACTAAATCTGCTATCAAACACAAGTGGAAACTATGTGCTTAAACAACATATTCGACGGACTTGAAAATCAAATTATGCATTACAGTATGCTAGTAGAGAAACTTTTAACTTACAACAGATTCCTATTCAAGCTCAAGATTAACGTATAATATGGAAGTATAGGAGAAGACTAAATACAATGATAACACTGTTATAACACTAACCTGCCAAATGTAAGGATTTTCTCCTTGTGTTGCCTGGCATCCTTTTTCGTAAACAGTTCTGGCTTCGTTTAATTTTGATTGCTTACTCAAAATCTTTCCCAAAGCAACATATGGTCTCCCATCTTCTGGCCAGACATCAATACACTCCATGCATAAAAGATCCAGAAATCAGTAACATTATTAACAAATAATGAAGTGTCCTCACGATATCAAGAGAAAAGAACAAGGAATGGTTTTTTTTTTTTTTGGATCAACGAATGCTACCTGTTGCAAAATTTTCTCTGCATCTGCATACTGATACTTTCGAGCCAAAATCTTTGCCCGATACAGTGCTAAGTCTAAATTGACTTTAAGTGGCTTCTCTCCAGAACCAGATTCCAGCCTATTTGGCTCAAAAATTGGCATCTTCTTTGCAAATTTCCTAAGTCCATCATCAAGTGGAAATGACGAGGAAGATGGTTGCTCTTCCAAGAGATAACTTCTGTCTTGGGAATTCTCAAAGTTACGCATCTCTTCCCCTTTTTCATCACCAACTTCCCCGTTAGGGTCCTTCACTGGCCTACGAACCACAAGTAACTCTTCCAAGGACTTCTTTGTAGTTCTGATCTCATCAGCAACTTCATCAGCGTAACGTCTATCTTGGCGATCAAACTTAGAAGAAGTTCTTGATGTTTCTGGATTTTCTTCAAGAAGTGGTGATGAAGAAGATGACTCATGGGAACAAAAGGGATGTAAAAGAGGAGGTGAAGGTGATGGTTGGGATGTTCTGAAGGGGACGGAAAAATGAAATTTTGACGGATTGTGGTTCTGAGTATGATAGAAGAGAGTGAAATTAGAACTCGAAGAAGAAGTAAAAGAAAATTGACTCATTGCTTTTCCTTTACCTACACTTGTACTAGTACAACTGTTGTATACTTGATGGAAGACAATGGTGACTGGTGAGGCTGAAAAGAAAGGGCAAGTTTGTGTCTAAAGAGTCAATTTTATCCTATAATTAGTAAGAATAAATATTACATTGGTTTATATGTTCACCAGAGATGAAAGAATAAGCTGATCAACTTCACGGCTTGTGAGAAAATTGATGTGAAATAGCTCAAACTTATTGATAGTTCGACAGATTCTAAGAAGCAAGGTTTATTTGAAGATGTTCAAAATGCCCTTTCTCATAATAGATTATCCCAGTCAGGCATGCATTTATCTGTATCAATCCAAGAGCATCCTGTTAATTTGAAATGAATACAAGACAAGAGAAGATGGGGAGAAATATTTTTCTTCATCCCTATGACATACTGCCTTTTCAAAACAGCGAAGAATGTTTAACTTACTCCTATACATAGAAAATCAATTCACTAAACGATTTGAGAAACCAAACACATTACATAAGACACATTTAATCTATGATGGGATTTTTTTTTTCACCCATTAAACTTTGTACACAAACTAAATTCACCTTAAAAGTTTACCTTAACAGCACTATGTAACACAGTACCTAACTCAAATTAGCTTCTTAGTCTAGTGCCAACTCAGCCTACTATGCTAAAAGAATGCAAAGCGACTAAAAGGAAAAAAAGATGATCCACACCTTAAACCTTTGAGAAAGTCAGACAAATCTAAGTACTTTGATATATTCAAATGATGCAGAAGATTTATCAAGAGCTTATCATTAAATCTCTCAAACTAGTTAAACTAACCTAGATAACCTTCGAATATTGAAACTCGATTAACATACAGCTAAAACTATA